CCACGGGAGACTGATCTGATCACTAGATCTGACACTTATATGGTAACATAGGGAGGTTGATGTCTCAGCAACAGTCCTGGTGAGTGGTGGAAGCCAGGCTGTAAGTGTGGCTGTGGTCAGCTAGGGAACCCCTGTCAGAGAATGCACACAAGAAGACCTTGTCCAAGGGCTGGGGATGTAGCCTGGTGGTGGAGTGCTTGCCTGGTGTGTCTGGCCATGACAGCTACATGTCCATCCAGTTTCCCTGATTGTGTGTCCTTGAGTACCGTGGCCAGGCTGGGAATCTGTAGAAAAAAGTGTTCCTGGGAGAGCAGGTCACATTTTGTGTCATTGAAGAGTAGCTTGCGCATTTCCTCCCTGAGCCCTTATGGTTTGTTGGCTTCTTGACGAGCGGAGCCAGGGGAAGCAGCTCTAAGCTCGTAGCACGCCGCGCTCAGCCACCTGCTTCCTGTGAGTATCTTCAGTTGATTGTGCTGTCGTGGCTACCTCCATGTCCTCGATCAACTCCAAATGTTTACTTTTGTGGTCCTTTTCACTTTGGAGAAGAGATAAAAGTCACACAGTACCAAGTCTGGTGAATTAGTTCGATGAGGATAGAACATCATGTTTTTATTTGACAGAGATTTCTGTAGACATTTTAAGTTACTTCAAGATACTGAGGGGGAAAAAAAAAAGATACTGAGGCAGCTATGAAAAGACACTCGCAAAAGAGTACTTCCAGAACTGCTTCAGAAAGTAGCAAGGATGATAGGATAAGTGTGTGTTACAGTTTGTGTTTGCAGTCCTGAGGCAGCAGGCTTCTAGAGTGTGCAATTCGTGATCCAATGCTGGGGTTAGGGGCAGAGAGTGTGAATGCAGCCTGAGGAATGGAGGGGCTCGCTCTCTGCCACTGCCTACAGTGCTGCTTCCCCTCCCTTTCTCCTCTTGCTGTTTTCTGCCGCCATGAATGGCTGCCCTCTTCCTTGTGCTGACTTGGAGCCAGCCACGTATGGACTGAAACAGCCACAAACTTTGAGCTAAATAAACCTTTCCTTCCTTAACTCTGGGTGTTGGGTATTTTGTCCCAGCAATGAGAGAAAATTAACCAAGACAGTGTGTTTGAAGTGAAGGAGGGTACTATGAGGAAGATTAATGGCAATATGTCTTTTACCATAATAAATTTTTGAATTTAAACATTTGCTATGTGTTTCAATCACACCTCATACTAGAGTCTATTATTTTTCTAGGAATTGATATCCCACATGTGATTTAGTGATTTCTAAAATGACCTTTGCTCTTTTCTAAAATAAAGCTAACGCTTGTCTAAATTTATTTATTATGTATTTTATGTAATAGCATTTTATTATGCGTCTTATGTAATAGTATTTTTCATTACTATTTCACAACTTTTAATTCATATGTACTTTTTATAAATATGCTTTTAATGACCTGAACCACAGATGACTCAGAATAGGAAATCCCCCAAAGGGGGAGGGGTGTGGCCAGAGAAAGCCAGGCCGAGCTGCTGCAGGCTGCGAGCCAGCTCTGGCCCTTTTCCGGCCAGCCGAAGGGCCCTGCAGTTGGTCAGGATTTCAAACACAGCTCGCCTGGGATTTGCAGAATTCCTTGTCACCTCATTTTGTCATGCGTGGATGTTGTATAAACTGAATCCTACTTTCTATCTCTCACTCTGGGGGTCTTTGCCGTGAAAGTAGCCTGATCAGGAAACCAGCTTCTCTCCCCACACCTCTCAAGTTACCTTTCACAGGCACTGTGTTAAAATCCGAACGTCAACCACCTCATAAGTAGCTGATTTACAAATAGGCTTTATTTTCCTAAGGGAATGGCATTAACGCCCACATCGAGTTCTGGATACAACAACCTCCCTCACAAAAGAGAAAAGAAAAGATATTATTTCAAAGCGAGGCAGGAATAATATTTTTATTCTAGTTGCCTTCTGAGACAATAACCAGGAAATGACGCACCCCACGGATGCCTGAGGCAGGTAGGAGCAGCCTGCCCAGAGGCAACCCCTGTTATCCAGACTGCTGCGGGTTTATGGAGCCTGCAGTCCGCAGGGGCTGCCCCTGAGCTCCAGACCGTTTGTTTCATTTTCCATTCTTGTTCCTCAGGACAAGTTCAAGCCAGAATATCGTTGTGAATGCAGAGCTCTAAAACGGAAAGTGTGGCCCTCTGGGAATGTTTTCTATTGACTGTTGCAGTCCTTTGTTGTTAAAGACCTTATTGATCAGCTTTTCTTTGTAGTACTGGGGATTGAGCCCAGACCTTCATTCTGAGCTAATTCCCAGATCTTTTTTGTTTTTTTGTTTTCTTTTGAGTTAGTATCTCACTAAGTCACTAATTTACCTGGGCTCACACTTGTAATTCTCCTGTCTCAGCCTCCCAGCTTGCTAGTATTGTAGGAACGCACCACTATATCCAGCTACTTATCAATTTTAAGTGAAAGTTAATGTTTGGCAGTATAATCAAGGGAGAAATTTTAAATGTCATTGTAGGAAGTAAAATTGTATACATGTTTTGAGTCTGTTTGTTTCTTCTTTGACACGGTGAATATGCATGCAGCCGAAGCTGGATGAAGACTTGTATTTAGATCTTTGATTCAGAATGTTAGGGCCTTACCTCAAGAAGGAGGAAATGGAGGTGGGAGTGCTGGGGGTGCAAGAACTGGGAGGTTATCTGGGATGCTGGGCTGATGCTCTAAGAAATTTCTGTTGGTGCGAAGCCACTGAAGCCTGGAACAGGAGATGTGGGTAGAACTCCTAAGGGGCCAAATCAGGACCAGGCTCCTACTCTGTGGATAGGCACTGGCTGGATGCCAGACAGTCTGCTGGGGAAGCCTGTCAGGTGGTGTCCCTCGGACATAGCCAGGGGACTGTGACTGTATTTACCACACCTTTGAACTTCTGCCCTTCCAAAAGAGCTGCTGAGAAGGAATGATCTGAAAACCCCTCAGTACATAAGTGTTGTGAAACACTCTTCGGGAAAGAGGGAGTCTGAACTTCTTGACACCCTTGTCCTTGGCCCTGTTCTCCCCCACCCACAGCCAAATGGTAGGTGTTAGAGAGTTTAACATTCTCTTCAGCAGTGAGGTTGCCAAAGTGTGCTCAGCGAATTGTTACCATCCTGGTAGTGCAGCTGTCACTAAGATACCTGTGTGACTGACTCACACCCCTGTGTGCCTACCGCAGTCCTGTAGGGAGATGAAGGACAATCCCAACCTATTGTTTTGTGACAGAAAAGTTTAGTTTTCTTATGTGAATGATAAATCATCTTCCATCCCTTCCTGTCATTGGTAGGTCAGTGGCAGGGAAAAAGAGCATACATTCTAGGGGACTTGGGGAACTTTCTGAGCCTGGCTGTTAGCTTTGTTTTCCTAATGAGAATTCAATCTCTTACATCTTCTTTGTAGACACAGTGACACACAGAGCTCCAAGGCCTCCTGTTGATTTTTCTTTTTCCCTGTTATAGATTAAAAGATTTCACCATAGAGGCTCTGGGCCCATGTGGTCCTACAGGTCCAGAAAGTAGACCTGGGCTAGCACCAGGTACCCTAGAGGTGGCATCCCAAATCTGTAGTCACCCTATGGCACCCACTGGGTAGCTATGCTCTCAATATTTTTAACTTCTTTATTAAGAAAGTAATGACAGTGCTGGGGAGATGGCTCGGTAGAATAAGCACTTGCCTGGCAAGTGCAAGGGCCTGAGTTCAATAGTCAGTTCTGGAAAAAAAAAAAAAGAGCTTTGAAATTAAAAAAAAAAAAAAAGAAAGTAATGACAAAGAGATGATACTCATTGTTTGCTTTTACAATTTTTAAGTGTTTATACATATATTTTTACAAATAATCCTTAACGATGTAGAAATGGAAATATTTCTTTTAAGTGTCAAGATGGAGACCCCAGAAGAAACTGTACAGCCTCTCCTTCCCCTCTGCTTTGCAAACAGGAAGTCATGTGGACATAAGTCACTAACTATATTTGCCAGACATTGTAACAATGCCCATGATCACTGTTGAGATTTCATCTGAAATCTTTGCTCTTTCAGTGAAATCTGGGAAGAAGTACATGACTTTAAAGTCAGAGGACGTGGTGGGCTGTGTTACCAAGTCTGGGGGGAAATCTCCACCTCAGAGTTTTGTGAGCAACAGAAAGACTATAAAGAGCCCTGCTGTGGGCCTCCTGGAGCAGCCCTGCATGTTGCTGGGCCACACTGTGGCAAGCCAGGAGAGGACAGAGCTGGGTGGCTTGGAACAGCATCTCCAGGAAGCCTAGGGATGAACTCGGGGACTGGCTGGGCTCTAGTGTGGGAAACTCTGCTTTCCCTTTTCCCTACTCCCAAGTGGCGCTATGGAGGCAGAAAGCCTGCCCACTTTGTGGGAATGAAGTTGTGCATCTTTGAGTCAGGAGCTCCTATAATGAAAATTCACAGCAATTTCTGTCAAGGTTTTAGCTTGAAGATGAAAAGATCTTTTTCCTGTGGAGAAATCTTGTTTCTAGCCTGGCAGAAAATCTTCTGTGCTGTTTCTGAAATATAATCTGTAGGATGGCAAGAAAGCATTTTTCACATTATCTGTGTCAAAAATATCAGGGAGAGTGTGAGTGAAGAGGAGAAAGGGAATAAGCCATCTGTGTCTTGTGAAACACTTCACTGTGAGAGCCGGCCCATGGCCCCAGGCTAAAGCACTCCTAGACCATGTGGTTCTGTAGCTGCTGTATACGTCCCGACCAACAAACACTTCTGCCCAAATAATTAAGTTGCAGAATGGATCTCCTTGGTAGTACACTTGGGTTTTCCTGTGGCACTGGTAAGACCAAATGACAAAGCCCCTAGAGGACACAGACACCTGGTGGCTCACATAGCTGGCGATGATGGTACAAGGCTGCATGGGGCTGACTTCAGGCTCCAGAACCAGAAGTCCAAGGCATAGCACTGTGGGGACCTCGGGAGGGGCATTCTGGTGGATGGAGGAGTGTATTTACCATGTGCCTCTGCTCTCTTATAGGAAGAAGGCATTGTGAAGGAAATCGACATTAGTCATCATGTAAAGGAGGGATTTGAGAAGGCAGACCCCTCCCAGTTTGAGCTGTTGAAGGTTTTAGGACAAGGATCCTATGGAAAGGTAGGTTAAACTCTTGGTTGATGCAAAGTTCTCATTCCTGAACACAAAGGGCACCTGGGCTGAGCCTGATGGGCCCGAAATTGCAGGTCCTTGCTTGGCACAGCCATTCATTAGATCCTGTGCACATCAGGGCTGTGAGCACGCAACGCACAGCTAGAATCCCATCACCACGGAGCTGAGCCCTCTAAGCCAGTAGGTATCTCTCCCCTTTTTTAGGGGCTTCTCTGCACTTGGGTCTGTCACCAGAGGAGTAGGGTACTGAACATCAGTCAATGCATTGCTAAATGTGCATCCTCAATACCTATTTCCCAAAAGAAAGGGAAAAAAATAATAAAAAGAAAAAAGGAAAATTGCTTCTCTGCTTGTCTGGTGTGTTTCACTTAAGCCTGTATTTTCTGGGTGTATCCATTTTCCTACCAACGTCTGCTCTGCAGCACGAGTATGGGTTACTGTAGTACGATTCCTTTAGCTCTTTTGGGAAGATCCTTAGAAAGCACTAGCTGAGTCAAATGAAATTTCTAATTTTAGTTCTTTTTTTTTTTTTTATTTTAGAGAAGGGCCTGCAGGGTGTTCAGGGTCTCACTACTAGATAAGACTTGTAGTGATTCTCTGGTTTACAGCCTCTCAAGTGCTGGGATTACAAGGTGTGCTAACAGGCCCAGTCTCAATCACCATCTCAGCATGCCCCAGGGGCAGGGCCGGCATGGAAGGCCTGGGGATCGTACCCCAGGCCCCTGAGTCTGCTTGAAGTCGCTTTAATCCGCTGAGCTAGATGACCAGCCCTGAAAAGTGCTTCTCTGGATTGGTCCCCAGGAGTCAGGGATGCTAGGACTGCAACTTGGCTCTTCTCTTACCATCCATATCAGCTACACAGCTATTTTGCTTCCCAAAGCCCCAGTCTTCTCATCCATAAGGTGAGGATGATATAACCTGCTTCTGATGGTTACATTATAGATTAAATGAGACATGTGTCCCATCTGGAAGTTGCGTAACACGTTTGTACACTGGAACTTCTTGCTTCCTTTGTTTTCCCCTCTCAATTGTAGTGATAAAACCTAATTCCTTTCAGGAAATGAGAAATGTTGGCTCTTCATTTAAAATGCTATATCCATAAGAGATAGGAAGTCAGTTAGGCCTTTTGGATTATGACATGTGCCTTACTCCAAAGGATAGCTGATTTCTCTACATCCTTGGTGTCAACTACTAAGTAGATGTGCATGGTACTCTATGAACCGTGATTATAGAGTACCACAAAGCCAGCCATTCCCTAAATGGGAGCCCAAATATCAGTCTTCATGTGACTCTGTCAAAAGGGAACTGGATACAGTCCAATGTGATTCAAGTGTAGGATTAAAAGTATGCTAATTTTCTGAGTAATCACTTACAGACCACCTGACTTTGAGTATTTACAGAATTTATCTTTTTTTCTTTTTTTTTAAATGTATTTGGTACCAGGCCTCACTATGTAGCTAGGACTCATAGTGATCTTCCTGTCTCAGCTTCCCCAGTGCTGGGCTACAGGTGTGCACCACCACACCCAATCTTGGTGGAGGCTCAGGGCGCCTGGGGTCAGGGCTGGGGCTGCGTATGGTGCCGGGGATGGAACCCCAGTCCCTGTGCTTGCCTAAGCAGGCTCTTAGTCCACTGAGCTACCTTGCCAGCCCTCAGAATTTATCTTTTGTTGTGCTTTTAAGAAAGAACAATTTTTTTTTCTTTTCTACATGTGAGTGGAATAAAGAATATAACAGGATTCAATGAGTTTTTGTCTATAAAAAATGGCTATTAGCTTAGTTCATGTGGGCTTTTTGGAAAGAGTGAAATAAAGATTTCAGTTTCTCATGATATAAATAGCTATTACTAAAAACAAGATAACAGAACCTGTTTAAGGTGGCCATGAATATCTTGTCCATCAGAAAAGTAGGAAAAAGTATAAGAGGAGCCATTCTGTCTGTAGGCCCATGATTTGAAAGCACAGGCAAGGGTCTTCCCCCTTAACTGCTTTTGGGGGGAGGGTATTGCCTGCGTCCTGTTCCATGAGGGCAAAGACATCTGGGTGAGTATGGTCAGTAGATCACTGTCACCCTGGGCAGGAAGGGTGACCATGCCATGCCGGTCCTGCCCCCGGGCACGCTGAGATGGCGATTAAGACTGAGCGTGGTGGTGCACACCTATAATCCCAGAGTTTGGGAAGCTGAAAACAGGAGGATCACTAGGAGTCTGATCTGTGTAGTGAGACCCTGTAGACTCTGTACTAAATGCAAAACAAATAAATAAATATAAAACAGACATTCCTTGGGCAACAGCAAGTGACATGCTGGTACTCAGCAGAATTTCCTGGGAATGACAATGCTGGTGACACATAGCACACTTCCTTTGCAACCTCTGGCAACTTCTAATCTCTTATCAATATAATGTCACTGTTATTCGAGGAATAAACAAAAGAATAATGGTCTGGAGGAGAAACAGAAGGAGGGGACAGGAAGCTCCCTTGGATATTGGAGCCAAGGCTCCTACCTGGCCAGCACAACTTTCTGAGATTGTCTGTAGCAGCTAGTCCAAGCCACAGCTGACCTGGAACATGCATTCAGGTCTCCTCAGTGTACTGACCTGCTCTGGACTCTGGGAGATAGGGTGTGCTTGGGAGCCCAGCGCTGCCTGGGATAGGTTTGAGCCAGTGTTAGCAACTAAGGAAGTTATAAGTAAAAATTATATTTGTCCAGACAAAAGGGAAGTTTGTTATGAGTGCTTCATAAAGGCAACACCAGTGACAAGTTGGGGCAGTGCCATGCATTATGCTGCCCCATGTGATCCTACTCCTGCTCTCTGTAAGAGGCGCTGTGTCCTTGGTCAAGAGAAATCCTCTCTTGGATGCCTGTAAGGGGTGAGAGATCGCTGCATGTTCATCCCACAAAGCTCCCACTGCCCTCCTTCCATCTGTTATCTCTGCCCCAGTCAGTGCAGACCCTGCATCCTGACAACCCAGGGGTGGCCTGCCAGTGGTCTGCAACTGCCCTCCATCAGAGGGGCTGTCGCCCTGACATCCCTTGAACATGTTCATGCTGGCCCAGGCCTCACCGTTGGAGCGTTCTGCAGACCACCTGCCACATGCCAGCACTGAGCGCACACTGAGAAGAAGTTGGCTGAGGAAACTGAGTAGTGAGTTTTCAGATGACTGAGATCCCTGACGACTTGGAGCAGTGCAGGATGACGTGATGTCTGTCACCAGGCCTTGGTTGTCACAGTTGTCTTGATGCTATGGAATGCTGAGCTGCTGCAGAAGCTGTTCTAAAAATGCAATGAGGTGGCATGTAGAGCAGGGTTAGGAGTTAGAGATCCAGTGATGACACTGACTGAAATTGCCAGCATTGTTTTGGACCTTACTTTACTCCGTCAAAATCGATTCCTAAGTTACATGAGCAGAACCAAGGAGCAAGTGAAGCAACCCAGGCTGTGGTACTTGAGTGAGACTCCTTCTGCAGTCCCAGGGTGCCACTTATCACTGACTTCCTGTTTAACCATTGACAGCATATTGTCTGTTATCTCAAGGTGCCATGTGTCTCCTGTTGGGCGCCCTGCCAGCCCCAGAGAGTACCTGCCACAATACCTAGGCAATGCCTGGCACTCGGTGGGAGCTTGATAAGTACTGATAGGATGGAATTGTTCCTGTTTTTAAGTAGATAAGTGGCCCTCCTATCAAGCACCCTGTTTGTAAAGCCTGAACACAATAGAGAAAGGGGGTTATGTAAATATCTATGCAAAATTTGACATTGTTTAAACTGAACTGTAGCTAGTGGCTGCCCACTGCCTAAGTGGATGTATTTTCAGTTTAAACCAGAGGAATGGGGTTTCCCTGCTCTTTGAATTCATACAGTCATATCTTCTTCTTAGTCTGTTTTATGTTGCCATAACTGAATTTATACAGAATAAGACAGGGTGATTTGTAAAGAACAGAAGTTTATTTGGCTCATGGCTCTGGAGGCTGGGACATCTAAGGAAATGGCAGCTGAGTCTCCTGGCATTGGGTAAAGGTTGCATCCCACATGGTGGCGGGCATCTCATGGCAGAGGAGAAGAGCAGGTACAAAGCATCTGGCTATATTTTGAACAAAGCCACCAGAGAGATCCGCTAACCCGCTCCTGAAAGAGGAGCCGAGACTCAGCATGCAGCAGGCATCCTCGTGCCCTAGCACCTGGCCCCACCTTCCACATCAACACACTAGGCATCGAGACTCCATCACAAGAGTCCTGGGACATGTTCAAGCCGTGGCACCTTACCTTGTCAGGGGCTGGAGAAAGAGGAGGCGAGCAAGATCGACTGTGGACACTTCCGAGGCTGACTGAACAAGCCCACCTCCTCTATGCACAGTGCTCTTTTCTCCTTCCCACCTTGAAAGAGGGCTTTTGCTGTGTTGTCTCTCTTCCAGCTCCAGAGACGCCTCTTCTTGGGCTTATGTTACCTCACTGCTGTACAGTAGAGGGATTCTTCTGTCTACCAGCTGGTGTCCACCCAGGGGTCAGGCAGCAGCTGAGGGCAGCAGCTGAGGACACCTGTCCCACAGCAAGCACCCAGAGAGACTCAGGCAGAGCCGCGCACGCGCCCACCACCACAAGGATGCGCAGGCGGGTGCGTGGCAGCCCCTCTGTGCTCAGCCTATGGCCTCACCCCTCCCACGTGGCCTGATGGGCGCTCAGCGGCTGCTCCTCAGTCCCACGGCCCCTGGAAACCCAGGACGCACTTGCTAGGTCTCCCTGCCTGGCCTTCTGCTTCCCAGTAACCCAGCCATCGGGGGTGAGAGTCAGAGGCCCCCCACAGCAACACTAATCACCAGATGAAGGGGATGCAGGAGGTTCCCTGCATGGCCGGAAGAGCGATGCAATTATGGCAGCAGATGGAAACTGAAACTGTGTAGCCCGCTGCTTGCCAAGACTCACAGAACAGAGACATTTAAAAAAAAGAGAGAGAGAGAACAAAAAGAACAGAGACATTCCGGAGTCAAGCACCAACGTATTTCCTCTGTAAAATCGCCTTCTTCTGACCACTGCAGTCTCATCCGTCACTGCGGTCACACCCATCCACAAGCTCCTCCGCACACGCAGAAGGAGTGTCCTTGGCCAGCAGGATGTTCCCTAAGGCAGCTTAGTCCTTCTATCCACAGTAATTTCTTGGCTAAAGCAGGACAGGGAAGGGGGCACAGCAGAGACCCTGGGTCCTACGGAAGAGCCCAGGGCCCCATCGCCTCTGTACAGGCAGTTCACGAGGGTAAGCGTGACAACATCACAGCCTCACCTCACGCCCATAGGCAGCTGTGGAGAAATGCCAGAAGTATGTGCAGACACTGCACACTTCTGCAGAAGTAATTCTCAGAGAAAACATGTCCAAAATCCCTAAAGAAACCAGGTACAACTGTGGCACAACTCTATAAATCCTAGCCCTTGGAGAGGCTGAAACAGGAGAGTTGTAAATTCTAGCCTCACCTGGGTAATTTAGCAAGACTCAGGAGGTGGGGGGAGAGGAGGGAAGGGGAGGGGAGGGGAGGGGAGAGGAAGGGAGAGGAAGGGAGGGGAGGGGAGAGGACAGGACAGGACAGGACAGGACAGGACAGGACAGGAGAGGAGGGAAGGGAAGGGAAGGGAAGGGAAGGGAAGGGAAGGGAAGGGAAGGGAAGGGAAGGGAAGAGTTCTGTTTGTCTGCTTCTGTGCATCTCTGCTTCGCATTTCAGGAACAGACAAGGGCAACGCCAGAGTCAAGAGGCAGCTAACTGCTCCTGTGGCTCCTGGCATAGATGTGGGACTGATGCTCAAGTTCCATGGATGCGTGTTTCTGTGCTGGGCCTTGTGTCTTCTCCCCTGCTCCCGTGTGTCTTGGTGTCACCCTGTGCCCTGTAAATTGTCTCTCCTTTACTCTCCCTCTCTCTCACTCCCTGCCTCCCTCCCCCTCTCCTCCCCCCTCTTTCCCTCCGTCTCCCCCTCCCTCACATGGTGGAGCTGGGCTTACAGAACACACATCTTGACCTGTGACAGAGAGCTACCACCCTACCCTCCAAGTGCAGGGCTCACAGAGGCTCTGCCTCTGTGGCTGGCTGGGGACTTTGAGTCTACACAGAGCTAGAACATCCCGTGGAGTAGGTGTGTGGGTGCATGGAGGCCAGTGCTCTAGCTTCGAAGGCTTGGTAAGGGAGACATTCGGGGAAGGAAAACTGTAACGTCCCCCTTCAAGTCATAGCCCACATGCAATCACTTCCTCCTAGCACTTCGCCAGATCCCTGTCACAGGGGCAGAGCTTTGTTTCTGTTGAGAAATACAATGAGGAAAGTCAATATTTTCTTCATATACATGAAAAGGTTTTTTTTTTTTTTTTTTTTTCTGTAAAGGATTTTTCTTACCTGATTTTGCCCAGAAACCATTAAGATGACTTTAAAGTCAGCTTGGTGCAATCACCTGTTTGTTGCATTGCTTGTTTTCCTGATTTTAAGAAAAGAGCTTCTGAAAGGTGGGACCAGGTCGCCCGTGCGCTGCACCGTCTATGCACCTAAGCCTCCCAGGCCAGCATGCAGCCACAGGGAGTTCAGAGAAGGAGAAGCCGGCATGCTGTCACATTTGGGCCTCTTTTGTGTGTTCTGTGTGGTCTGCTAAACTGAGCTGTCTTCATGGGTACAGGATTTACACAAGTCTTTTTTTTTTTTTTTTTTCCATACCAGGAATTGAACTCAGGACCTAGCACTTGCTGAGCAGGCACTTTATGCCTCTAAGCTCTCTCCCCAGCCCCGAGAAGCATGTTTAAAATAGAGCAAATTATCTCCTTTAAAACTTCTAAATACTTTGTTTTCCTAAAGCTTCAAAAAAAAAAAAAAGGCTGGGATGATACTTCTCACATCAAAGAGGAAGTTGATGTATCAAAAACAGTCAGTTTAGGCCCAGAGATAGCTGGGCAGCATAAGCACCTGCTGGCAAGTGCAAGGTCCTAAATTTGATTCCTAGTACAAAAAAAAAAAAAAAAAAAAAAAAAAACAAAAGCACAACAACAAACAATCTCAGTCAGTTCTTCCTACAAACATGTGACCATATTTATTAAGGAGCCACAGAAAAGGAGTTTTTCCTGCACCCTCCATGCTGGAGAGGGTTTCAGGTTTCCTATGGTGTTCATGTTACTGGAATATTCCTAGACATTTGTATGTGCCCCTGTGTTAGTCGATAGGAAGAGTGAGCTTGTAATCTCATCAGCTGCAAACATTTGCTGCTTCTCAGGTGTTCCTGGTGAGGAAGGTCACAGGGTCTGACGCTGGACAGCTCTACGCCATGAAGGTTCTTAAGAAAGCCACCCTGAAAGGTAAGGGTCTCACGAAGCCTGGCTGCTTGTGAAACGTGTCGTGGCCGCTCCTGCCCTGTTGTGGGAGGGATCGTTGATTCTTCTCCACGTGCGTGATGTCTGAAGCTGTCTCCAGAGTAATATCCCATGTGCATGGCTCTCTGATTGATAATAAACAGTGTAAACATTTCCCTGGATATTTAAAATATTCCTACAAAATCTGTGCAGTTTTCAGAAAAGAGCCATATTGCATAAATACCAGTCTCCTACATATGTTCCTCCGGAGAGAGCCATGTGGGGAAAAGAGCAGCAAGGGGGAGGCAGGTTGTTATGGCTGAGTGGTGAGACAGCCCGATTCCATCGCTCAGCTGGACTGCTCAGTTCCCAGAGGACGCGGCTCAGCATGCGGCCTTCCCTTTGGTGGCCAATGACTGGGAGTTAGAGATTGAGTCCCCAGCTGGGCCCCAGTCTCCTAGCTTTCCCATGCACCAAGTGAAGTGTAAAAAGCTAGCAGAGGGTCAAAAGGAAGACACTGCCCAAGGCCACCCCAGCTCCTGCTCTGCTCTGATGAGCCCTACCCACGCGGTTGGGCTGGGAGGGAATCCCACCTGCATACAACAAGTGGCCCAGTGCACACACCTGCACCAGACAGTTGAGAGCTTGCAGTTAATTAGCTTCCTGTGCCACCCCTGCCCCCAAAGAGAGCACCATGGGTCCCCAGGGGTAGCACTGGAGAGCAAGGCTTGTGGAGGCAGCTGTGTAGGAACAGAGGGGTGAGGCACCCCTGGGCTCCTGCAGAGGATGGAGCTGGCCTGTGTGGTGGTTCTGGGCCTTCCAGGAAAGAAAAGCCTGATGGGTGGCAATCCAGATGGGGTCCAGCTGGCCCAGCTTAGGGGGGACCAGTGGGGTGGAGTCCTTCCTCCTGGACGGAGCTTATTTGGCAAGACCAGGAATGCTTGTGGTTAAGCATCCAGAGCCCTGTACAGCTAGACATGTCAATGAAAAGCAGCATTTAGACCTTTAGGTCTTAACACACAGTGCCCTTGGCAGCAGCAAGGAGAGCCATACAAGGAATGTGGCATTCTCTGCCACTTGCTCTCCACCTGGGGAGATAAGACATACATTCAGAACCACATATAACTAATAATCTAGGGCAATAAATGCATGGGTCAAATGTGCACAGACTGCAAATCTTAGGTATACAAAGGAGGAAAGAACTCTTCCAAGTGAGGTGATCCCAGAAGGGGTTAGAAGGTGCGGCCCAAGGATTAAAGGATGGATGATTATTCCTATACAAGAGAGAAACCATTCTGATGTCATGAGCACAACCAATGGTGAGAAAATGCAAACCCCAGGCCGTGGCCCTTGTAGAGCTGCATCTGTCACCTGTGTGTTTTGGGGGGAGGTCCTTGTAAACACAGACTTCTGGGTCAGAGTCTCTTAGAAGCAGAGCTTAGAATTTGGCTTCTTAAACAAGTTGTTCCAGTAACTCTTATGTACATAAAAAGTACCTGAGGGACATCCTAGTTTATTTTAGGAACTTGAGTTTTTAGTCAAGTGTTACCAATAGTGACATAATTTAAGCTATGCTGTCTAGAATTAACCTTTATTATTGAACAGTTATGTTCCTACAGTTGTTTATCATGACCAAATATTCCAAGATATTCATTGCAATATTATTTTACAGAATCTTTGTGGATGAAAAGATGTAAAAAACAATAACAAGTTTTGACTTTCTGTACCCAACTTTTAATAAAATAATCACTTAAAAGTTGTCTCATAGAAACATATTACGTTAGACATTTTCTAATTCAGGATCATCTGAATGGCCAAAAAACAAACTTCTCTTGCAATTCCTCAAAAGGCTAAGCACAGATTACCACATAGCCCAGATATTCCACTCAGAAATAACTAAGAGAAGCACAATATGTAGCTACATCAACAGGAATGTTCACAGTAGCGCTGGTCACTTCACAATAGCCCAAACTGGGGACAACTAAATGCCCCCAACTGGAAGGGGAGAATAGCGTGGTCTGTGATACTCCCAAAAGCATGGATGGACCTTGAAAACAAGGTTCTGAGTGAAAGCCACACAGTGCCACATGTATTGTGGGATTCCACCTGCGTGGAAGTCCAGCACCGGGGAGCCCTAGAGGCAGAGTCCCGGGTTAGTGGCTGCTGGCCTGGCAGGTTAGAGACACACAGTGCCCATTCATGGGCCTGGGGCTTCCTCTGGAGGATGCAAATGCTTTAAAATTGACTTCGGTGGTGGCCTACTGCCTCAGACCTACGCAAAGGCAAAGCATGGTGGAAGCAGAGGTGTCTGTCCTGACAGTCAGAGTGCTCTCAGGAACCATCTTCCAGCTTCTGCGCTACCCCTTCTGGCTGTGGGAACTAACCTGAGCAGCTCCTTGTTTCCCTGCCTCCCAGTTCTTCTTCCCCCTCAGTGTGCTCTGCCCCTCCTGGCCAGAGCAGAGGGGAGGGAAGGAAGAAGCAGAGAGGGAAGCTGCTCTGAGCTCGGAGCAGGACATCCAGTCCAGGGCCTGGAGTGCAGCCCAGGCAGGGGCCAGGAAGCCGTGCTCTGTGTTTAGTCAGAGCGAAACTCCATCAGGCTTGACCCTGACCTCACACGCAGAGCACGTCCTCTCGGGGTTTCAGTCTCCGTGGATGCATAAACATTCACATTTGTCTACAGTCCAACCCAATCGCCCTTGAGGACGGGCTGCTGACCAGCCTGGCACAGAATCACCAGGAGCTGGAGCCATGTCACAGGCTGAGCATGGTGTCACTGGGCACCTGAGCCACCACAAACACATGTGCAATGCATGCTTATGGTGAAGGAGGGATAGATACTGAGGTTCTGTCTGAAGGGCAGAGTTATAGGTAGCTATATAACTATATATTCTATAATATAACTATATAACTATATATATAACTATATAAATATATATATTCCCTATGCTCTGTATTTAAAATTTTCAACAACAACAAAACCCACAAAGTTTTTGTAAAATAAAGAACATTTTATACTTAAAAGTTATTTTTAAATATTCTAGAACAATAATCTTCAGTGTGTCCATTTTTTTTCACAGTTCCAAGAAAGTTTTTATACCAGGGACAAGTTATCTTAATCTAAATTACAAAATAGAACGGAAGATTTTACAGTTTGTTCTGTAGAACTCCTAATATGTATACGCAATGGTATGTTTGTGACCAATGCTGTTAAAGATTTACAACTTGGGCCTGGTATGGTGGTGTGCCCCATACTATAATCTATAGTCCCAGCACTCTGGAGGTTGAGGGAGGAGGCTCTCCATGAACTTGACCAACTGAACTATACAGTGAGACCCTGGGGAGGGGGGGGAACAACTTGAAGTTAATTAAGTCTCCTATTTAAAGGAAGAGTGTGAATAAATATTAAAAGAAAATATCTTCAAGTCACCCATATAGAACAGAAATGCAAAGATGGCATCTACCAAATTTGTCCAATCCCCATTCTGTATCTACACTATGTAGAATAATGAACGCTCCTTGCCAACATGGACTGAAGAATCTGCCTCAAAAGTTATATGAAATAGGAAAAGCTGCAGGAAGTGGCCCTGGAATGTGCCCAGGCCCTGGTCCTGGCCCTAGCACCACCGTTTCTCAGGCACTGGGAATTGGGTTCTCTCTTCTTCATCTGCTAAACCCTCCTTGTGACAGATAGGAAAAGTACTGACAGTGGTATCTTTGGCCTTGGCCAAAAATTCTAGGACTTCTTGCTGGTTTCAGTGTGGGCCCTTTGACCCCACAGGAGCTGGACGAAGGCCACTACTGCATACCTGCCAGTGCCCCAGCTACTGTTCCTACACCAAATACTCAGTGATGAATTGTCAGGCTTCCCCATAAGTGAAGTGCTCCCTCCCAGGGCACAGCCCCACCCCACTGCACACTTCCCACTCCATACTTCCCATGCTTGTCTGGAGTGAAGATGATACTAGTTCAGTTATCGGGAGGCTGGACCTAGGCATGCGCTGGTCATCAGCCACCACCCCATCAAAGATGAGACCCAGGGTTGGGGCAAGGAATAAGAGTGCAGGGAGGGTGCCCTTCCTTCACATCAGTGCCAAAGGCTGGCTGCATGTTCTGGGAGATTTCCCTGAAGGTCATGGTCGGCTTCGACATCAGATTCCTAAGAGCCAGGAGCTCCACCAGTGCAGCCACCTTACCTCCTGTGGCATCACTAATCAAGGGCCCATGAGGAGAATGAACCCTTCCCTGATTTGCTGCTGGGGCCCCCTTAAGGCTGTGGTTGGTTCAGTGGGGTGGCAGCCGTGGTGGTGGTAGGAGAGGACCCTCCCTCAGGACACTGAGGAGGACCCAACAATCAAGCAACAGAGGCCTCCTCTACAGTGTGTCCTAAAGGTCTTCCTTAAGTTGGTCATGCTTTGGAGATACGGTCATGATTACTCTGGTATGGGTCAGCAGGCAAAAGCTCAGTAACAAGGACTCAGAGACCTTGACACCTGGCAGATCCTGGCCTCTTCCCTCTCCTGACCAGGCCTGGCTCCTCTACTGACCTGGTGACCCATCTCATGTCAAGCCATGACCTGAGAACAGGTCACTCTGACCCTAAGAAGCACAAGTCGGTGGATGTCGTGTCTGGCAATGTGCAGGGGAAGGGAAACCATAAAAGTTTTCATATTGTGAAAATGCACATAGAGTGAAAAATCTTTCATTTCCTTGTGCTTCTTTCCAAGTCAGCTTGAAAAGTCATTGTATTTTTATATCCTATGGTGTTTCAGCTTTCTATAATGGGCCATCACTAAGGGAATGGGTATTGTTTCTAGAAATCTCATTGGAGCTCATTTTCTCAAGAGAAAAGTGGAAAACTTCACAAAGCAGGGCTCTGTATGTGAGAACCACAGGGTCTCACCATGGAGCAGAGGCCACACAGAGAGGAGAATGGTGTTCTCTGCCTGGGCTCAGCCTCCAGAAGTCACCCACCCTTCCTAACTTGAGCCACCTCCACAGGGAGGCAG